GAAAAGAAGAGAAAGACGAAGAGTATGTAAATGTATCTATACAAAGTACACCGAGTAACATTTAATGTTCTTCTCGATCAACCAAACACGGCCTTCCATAGAGCAAACGTTCCGAGGAGACTGAGTAATTTTTCTTTTTCGTTCCTTGTCGTTTAATCAGTATATGCTTGAGACGCGTATATAATAATATAATGTATGATATTTTAACGGTAGGAAAAGAAAAATTTAGCGGACGACTGATCGATCGATCGATCGAAATAGTGACGATCGGCATAAAGAAAAGTCTTTTGTGACTCGATGCTATATATTTTTGACGATCGTTTAGCGTGTAATTAGAATTACGTAGATTAAGATAATACCAAAAGAAAGAGAATGATTCAGTATTTATTACTTATTATTATTATTATTAATATGTAATTAATGTTATAGACAATGAAGAGTATGAATTATTGTGTATGAATTAAAGGAATGTCAAACCAGGATTGGGTCTGGATTTCATTGATACTTCGTTAATGTTTCGTGATCGAACAAAAGTATTACACGAAAAGCTGAATATTTTGAGGAATAGTTGTTTAAATGATATATTTCCAAATTATATTCTGTAGATATTTTACAATTACAGCTTTATCCGTTGAAACGAATCGATTATCTTAAAATTCTGTTAAATTATAAGAAAATCATAATCGCGATATTTTTCGTAATAAAAAAAAAAAAAAAAACAAGAAATCAAATTAGAATTATTTACTTTGTAACGCGGCTGCTACCTTGTCAAGAAAAAGAAAAAAAGACATGATATACTATTACTATAGTATACTATAAATTAATCTTCAAACGGGAATATTTAATTTTCAGAAGGTATTTTTTTAAAATAATAGTGACAAATGTTGTTAAATATTGTTTTTATGCTGGATACGGAACCATTTCAAAAATGTTTCAAAGACTAAAAAAAAAAAAAAAAAGAATTAAACATAGACACTTGTTGCTATACGATATTAAAGTGATAATTACTCTTCTTGTATTTAAGCTATTTTTCATGAATATTTGAAAACATAAAAAATAAAAAAAAACAGTATTTTGATGAAAAATTAAGAAAATTTTATTAAATCTTGTTGTCGATCAATTTTATGGAAATATATTCTAACATCTTGAACTGTAATATTAATATTTGATGAAAAAGATATTCATATTTTTATGCTTATGAAAAATTTATTGAATATCATGATTTAAGAAGAAAAATTATATGATAATATTCGATCAAATTGTAGCAGTACGTATTTAGGAAACAGTCGCGAAATTCTATCAAAATTTATTCAGTGTTATAGATCATATAATAATACTCTACTGATTGCTAATTAATTATATGAATTATTATAATTGCATAAAACAAAACTATATATTAAATATATTATTTTAAAATAAATATTGTATGCCTATTATATCGTAAAATACATCATGTAAATGTTCCATTATATATACGTGTGTATTTTGAAATCAAAAAATTATATCATTCGGCATTGTATTTTTCAAATCCATGGTGCTTTTAATTGAACGATAATATATTATTGTAACAAAACTAAACCAAAAAAAAAAAAAATAAATAAATAAATAATATTCTACTTATAAACATTTATCCTGAAATACTATTTATTTTTTATTTGTTTTTTTGAAAATATTTGTGAAATATTTAAATATGAAAAATCATTTTATAATTTATACTTTATATTTAATTTATAAAATTTAAGATTTTCTAATAAATTTTTTTTATTTTATATTATTTGATGAATAATTAATACGATAACAGATATCATTTTTTGAAAATTGATATTTGAAATGAAATATTAAATTTAAAATACATCTAATTATTTTATTTTCTTAATAATATATTTCGAGTTAGATTTCATTATCATCATTTTTTTTATTATATTTAATATTTTTTTTTCATTAGAAATATAATTTGTAATTTTTTTCATTATATAAGTATAATATAATTTTATTATACGTTATCAATAAAAAGTTATGGTTTATAACAAAATATACTAAATATACTATATACTAATATATTATTATTATTATTATTTATTATATATATTATTTTAATAATTTCTTTCCACATATTTGTTTCATTTTAATAGAAAATTATTAAAAAAATACGAAGATACGTGTAAATGCATATATATTATTTAATATTGAATCGATAATATTGAAAATGACATCAAAATGATAAAAAACTTCAAGTTGTATGACAAATATGTATTGGATATTACATCTTATGTTTCGTTTATAACCTCTAAACTCATTAGAATATCATTTAATAAAAATCATAATAAATGAGTAAAAAATTGCGTATCTCTATATTAGATCCTACAAGTTCTCCAGAATTAATAACCGATGTTAATTGGAAGTTATTACTAGCATGTACTTTTGGACATATATTTATGGCAAAAGAAGCACTTTCTCAAGTAAAAATTTTTCATTATCGATAACAATTAGTAAAACTTAATTAGTAACTTTAATGTTGAATTGATAATTTTATTTAGGGTGCAGATGTTAATTGTCGAAGATCTGATTATTTAACTCCTTTGCACATTGCAGTACAATATGATAATGTGGTACTTATTCAATTACTTTGTAATCAGCCACTCGTTAATATTGAATAAAAACAATAGATGGTTAGTCAAACTATGTAACTTAATTAATCAAACTATATTATAATTATATTAAAAGAAAAAAATTATGATGAAAAAATCCATTAAAATTAAAATTAAATTTCATTGAACCAAAACTTAAAGTTTGAATCTTTACTAAAGAACTATTTTCAAAACAGTTATTTTAATTTTTTTCTTTTAAAATTCAAAATATAATTATATTGTTAATAAGTTAACTTTATATATTTAATAGCATAATTTAAAATAAATTATAAAAAATTACTTTTGTACAGGATTGACACCTCTTCATAAGGCTGTTTTTCTTGGACAAAAAAATGCGATAGTAAAACTACTTGAAAATGGCGCCTCAGTTAATTGTGTAGATAATTTAAGCAGATATCCTTTACATTATGCTGCTCTTCAAAAAGATGTTGACAGTGCCACTCTATTACTAACCAATGGCGCACATGTAAATGTTTATGATGCTTTTTATGAAAGTCCTTTATATACCAGCGTTATACGAAGACCTTTTCTTCCTATGATTAAATTACTATTATTTCATGGGTAAACAAAATAATCAATATAAAAATTTTCATATAAAATTAATGGAAAAAAATTTTATCACAGAGCTACTATCTCATCAGCACCAAATCAAATTTCATTAGATTTACTTCTTGAAACTATTTTATGTTTACGTTATGAATCAGATATGAAAATACTTGATATTTTATTTCAAAATGGAGCAGATGTAAATACAACAGACCATATTGGTTTACGTACGCCGTTACACATAGCAGCCATGATAGGAAATACAAAATTGGTTATGTTAGTAAATTTAAAAAAAATATTTTTATAATATTCTAAATTAAATTTAAAGTTTCTTTGTTTTTTCGCATCATATAGCTATCTTATTGAAAAAGGAGCAGATTTAGAACGAAAAAATAGTGCTGGTCATACGCCAATAGATGTAGCTATAATATGTCGTAATTTTAAAATAGCGCGATTAATAGAAAAATCATTTTCAAAAGAATAAAAAATATATAGGATTTCGAGTATAATTAACTTTATGAACGATTAAATTTATTTATGATATAAACATAATCAATTATAATATAATTCATTTATATTTATATTATTTAATTTAAGTAAATTTAAATGATTAAAATATGAAATAAATATTAATTTTTCTAACTTTTTCTTTTATTAACATTTTTATAATAAAAAAAGAAACAACATATTAAGAATTTATAGAAAATTTATAGAAAATGAATTGAAAATATGCACAAAATAAATATTTTAAAAAGTACGTATATGCTTTAATGTTTACATTTACAAATATAAAATTAAATATTGATATATAAATAAGAAAATATTTTTTTTATCAAAAAATATAAATAAATGACAATAAAAATAAATAAAATGTAATTTATAATTACTAAATTTTAATTATGTCATACTTTAATTTTTTTAAACTTTCCAATTGTGAAACATTTATAATGCATTTTGCTTGCTTTAGTTTCTTATCTTATTATGTATAGTTCATGCTTTAATTTAGAAACAACTAGATATACAAGTAAGTACAAATTGTGAATCTTTATATGTATTATACGACGCGTGAATATGAAAAAATAATGCATAAAAAATTTTTAAGTAGAGCAGTACTTCGATAAGAGATGAAGAGAGGAGAAACAGTATATAACTTAGTGGAAATATATGAAGAAATTATGAATTTAGACAAATTAACACACATGAATTTATATATAATATTTGCATCAGTATGTATATAATTAATTATTATACAACGTAAAACTTTGATTAACTTTTAGTTAATGAAATTTCATTAGTGATAATTATTTCGTTTCATACGAATTGTAACCTATATAAGAAATCAAATAAATAATGAAACAAGATGCTGATAAAATTGTCACTTAATTTATAGAAACCTTATTTAAAAAAATAGATTGCTATAATAATCTAAACGTGTAATTTTATTACACGATATATTTTATAAAATTGAATTAAAAAAAATTAGAGAATTTTAAACATTATAATATGATTTATTGTTATTCTTATTACTGCTATATCGTATATTTATGCATAATAATGTAAAAGTTATGTGTTTGTTTGTAGATTTTATTGTAATATTAAATTGTATTATATATTGTAATATATCAATATAAACATATATTGATTGATAAAAACAAAATTTAATTATTATTATGTTCTTTGTTAGAATTTATTAATTATAGTGAAGGTGCCATGAAGTAAAATTAAAGGATGATGATGGGTGATCAGTTTCGTAGCAAAGTGGAACAATACTCACCAAAATCATCACCCAGGGGTGCACGTTCTCCTGTTGTTTCACGTCAAGATTCAACAGGAACTCTTAAAACAACCATTTCCCTGGGCAAAAATCCTTCCATTGTCCATAGTGGACCATTTTACTTGATGAAGGAACCCCCAGGTATATTATCTATTAATAAATTATTTATATGTTACAAATAATTATAAAATATCATAATAATAATTATAAAATCATCATAAAATAAATATATAACTTTTATTAAAATTTTTTAGGAGAAAGTGAACTCACAGGGGCAACAAACTTGATGAACTTTTATGGGCTACAACATTCTTATAGCAAATTTAGTGGAAAAAAATTAAAAGAACAACTTTCATCATTTTTACCAAATCTACCTGGAATTATAGACAGACCAGGTCATTTAGATAATAGGTGCATTAATATATACTTTTTGTCTATCATATTTATTATTGTATTTAAAACATCTTGTATCTATTTAAACTTATTACAACTTTCTATTTTAGTTCACTAAGATCTGTGATTGAAAAACCACCAATAGGAGGAAAAGATTTAATACCATTAACCAGTGTTCAATTAGCTGGTTTTCGTCTGCATCCTGGACCTGTAAGTAAAAATTCTAACAATTCTAACAAAAAAAATTTATTGATTAAAAAAAGAATTTGATAAAAGTCCCTATATTTTTATAGCTACCAGAACAATATCGTTATGTTAATCAAGCTCCACAAAGAAAACACAAAAATAAACATAAAAAACATAAACACAAACCAGGAGAAGTGCCTAGTGGTCAAGAAGCAACAACAACAGATATTGGTGGTTCAGATACACATGAGAAAAAGCATAAAAAACAAAAAGACATGATGAAGAAAAAGAAGCTAGGAAGAAACGTAAAAAAGAAAAGAAAAGAAAAAAACAAAAACATAGTCCCGAACATAGTGGTGGTTTAACACCATCTCAGCATTCCAATTCGTGATCTTCAATTTCATCTTTTCTATTTATATCTAACTTTTGACTTAACATTAAAATTTCTGTAGGGGTAAATAAATTTATTTTTTTGTTAAGAATACATACATGTACAAATGATTATTGTGGAATAGAACTTAAACTAATTTTGATCAAATTTAAAATTATACTATGTTATTTACTTATTTTTATTATTCATGCTTTTTGAAAATTGATATCCAATTTTTTATAACAAAATGTTCATCTTTGTTTTATATCATGTTTGAAAATTTTTTCTTATAAAACAATATGTTATTGCCATGTACTATAGAATCAATGATGTAGAAATATATTTATATTTACAGATATAGTAGATATGAAATATGTATGTATGTGTTGCAACATATATTATTCTATTCTTCAAGATTATTCTTTGAAATAATTAATTATAATTTTTGAATCTAATTTTAAGTAATTTTATAAAAATGTTTCATAATTTCATAAATATAAATTAATTTAGTTCATTAATAAATTAGTAGAATATAAGAAATCAGTAGTATAAATACAGCATATTACTGTGATGTAAATATTATGTAACAAAAAATAGAAGTAAAAAAACGAAATGTCACTGTATCTAAAATGTTTTTTATGATGATTTTTAAAATGCAATGAAAATTATTCTCAAACAAAACTAAATCATGCATTGAATTAAATATATATGTAGAATTATGATACAAAATTAATAAAAAAAATCATGAAATAAAATAATTTCTAATTTACCTTTTCTTCCTTACATAATTTAAAAAAAAATTAAGTTAATTATAAAATTGATTTGAAATAATAATTTTAATCATGCCACTTTAGCAATTAAAAATTATTAATTAAAAATAACTTATTATTAATTATTAATTAAAGAGTACTAATAATTTTTTAAGAATAATGCATCTTGCTAAAATTTGAATGCACAAATATCACTGCTATAGTCAATTGATAGTTTAAAATTTCACTAATTAGTGACGCCATCTATCATGGGAGATTTCCGTCTTGTATAGCCAATATCCGGTAGTGGAATACTTCTGAACTCTGACTGTTCATATTCGTTGGAAAGTCGCTTCGTTCCCGCCATTACGTGCTTTTTCTGCCGTGTAGTAACTTGATTACCGGAGGAAGGCACGATGACGGATACTCGTAAGTATAAAAAAACTTTAAATTTTTGTATTAAAAACTATGATTCACTTTTTAATAATATTAAAGTGATTTTTATCAATTTAGAGAAGTATTTTTCAATTTTAAAACTTCTTCTAACTCATGTTACAATTCATTATATTGCCACGTTATATACTTTTTTCAACCATTTTACTTAATTTATAATATTATTAAATTGTTATTAAATTTAAATATAAAATTTAATCATATAAAAAACTGATTTAAAATAAAAATTGTGACGTTCTTTACTTTCGTACATCTTTGCATAAACTTATTGATCGGCATCCCAAGCGTCTTGTCCTCCTTTTTTACTCCATTTTGTATAATTTAATATTTTTACATTTAATGAATTTTATATTATTATTAAATTTTTATAATATTTCAATGTAATAATATAATATTATTTATATTTTTTTTTAATGAAATAATTATTATATTAAATAATATTAATTTTATATTAAGTTCTATATAATATTTCATGATATTTTTTATACATATTTTAGAATACTCAAATTATCAACAACAGGGGTACAATCAGTACAGTCAGCCACCACCTTCTGGTGGTCAGGATACTTCGTATCCACCACCTTCTAGCGGTGGTGGTGGTGGCTACAATCAATATAGTCAACCACCACCAAATAGTGGAAGCAATTATGGCAGTTACAACAGTTACAATTCCAGCGGTGGTCCAGACTATAATCAATCACAAGGTCAAAATAGTTACAACCAAAATAGTTATGGCAGTGGAGGCGGTTCTGGAAATAACAGTGGCAGTAGCAATTATGGTGGAAATTATGGGCATGGAGGTGGAGGTGGAGGAAGTGGAGGCTACAATCGTAATTCTGGTGGAGGTTATGGTGGAGGTATTTTAAATATTATGAAATTTTAATAAATCATATATAGCATATATAAATAATATATATATTTATTAGGTCAAGGAGGAGGTGGTAGCAGTAGATATGGAGATCGTGGGGGATACAATGACCGCTCTGGCGGTAGTTACAAGTAAGTTTATTTTTCGTATTATTTATATATAAAAATATAATAAAGCGAAAAGAACTTATAAGGTCAATAAGAATTTTAATCATATATCAACAATATTAATCAGTGAAGAGGTAAATATATTCATTGAAGTAATCAAGGTATGAAATGCAATTCTTATGACAGTAATGAAAACTTGTTGTCTCTTTGCAAATGGTTTTATGCCCATTGGGCGTTAATATGTTTGAAGTGTGCCTACAGGTTTAACACACAGATATAACTGGTAAAGGTAAAAACAGGTTGTATGTGACAAATGACGTAAAATGGTTATAATGTCTGGTAATATTGATTCTATACTATTACAATAAGTGGTAATATGATGTGTTATATATATAATGGTTTTGTATTAATTATACCTATAAAGCGGTTTATACTGCCACTGGGGCCACTGTTGTCTGAATAGTACTATTTAGGGTTATTGAAATCGACTAGACAATTAAAAGACGTTTAAAATTTTTTATAAGTATATAATGTTATTAAGACATAGTATTATCATATAAGTTGAAGTTTTATTAAATATATTGATGTTTCTTTAATACATTTTGTCTATTTTCGCAATAGGATATTAGTGTTATACTAGTTATACTAACATCACAATTCATGGAATATGATTGATAATTTTTTATTCCAATTTTTATTCTACTGGTTTTATTATATATATATATATATATGCCTGAAATATTAATTAATAGTGATTTCTTGTCAATAAGTTCTCAGATAGAAGATTCGTGTACATTCGACGTGAATAGGATAATCTTTTATACAGGATTGTCTTGACCAATTTATTTCTCGCAAAGTTATCAATAATAGCTATGCAGAGAAAACGCATAATTTTTGCATGCTGGACGTAACAGACTAACATGACGGTATACGTGACTTACCTTTAGTATTAAGTAATATAGTGACCACAGACATTTAGACAGTAGGTACATCAAGAAGAGAGGTGGCGAGCAGCATTTGATTCGCCATGCATCGATCGATCGATCAGTCTGTCCATGAGTCAACTCATTGGTATATCTGCTTCTGTGTTTTAGCAGTGGCGGTGGCCGTGGTGGTTATAACAAAGGTAAATGCACCAGACTGTCTGTACTAGTCTGGTGCTATTCAAGCTTTCACTCTAATATTTAAAATCTAAATACTCGGTTACTCGTATTATATGAAAGGGCTGCTATGCAACATTGTTAGGGGGATTTATTTTTTCTCTGGCAACTAATATTTTGCCAGAATTCAATAATGTAATTCTAAAAAAAGGTATAAATACATGATGATGTTATTGTAGCATCATAAAGGCTCTTTTAATCACCAATTGCTTTTTTTAATAAATAAGAATGAATTTTTTATGTTTTTAATACTATTAAATTTTTTATCAGAAAGTTATATAAATTATATTACATTAAATAATAATTTGAAATAAAAATGTATTTTAAATTTAAAAAATTAAATTCTATTTTTTTTTTTTACATACATACATACATAAAACAAATTATTTAAAAAAAAAAACTTTAAAAATGTAAGATATTTTTTACCCTTAATCAGCATTTGTACTGCTCATACTTCATTATGTTAATATGATAATATTTTAAAATATATCACAGGATATAATTTTAAGCATATATAAAAGGCAGCTGGTGAATTAAGTATTTACCTATCCCTAATCAGTCAAGGCTTTCCCAAATATACAATATAGAGAAATGGTAAGAATAAAAATAATGTTGCAGCCCTTTTGTATGTTAAGCTGCAACCTTGTGTTCTCTTCATATTGTTATATACTACTAAGAATGTTAGGCCAATGAATACTAATACTTTTGATATTACGCGAATCAAAGAGATATCTTTGAATTATAATTTTATGCAAGGTATTTTGAATATATGTACAATAATAGAAATGATAATTAAAAAAAATTAATCAATTAAGAAAGCTCAAATATCAAGAAAGGTATATTATTTATAGGCAAGATAAAATTGATGAATATATTCAGAAAACTAAAACTAGTATCAAAATAAATGTATGTTTTTAAACATACATAACTTACTAAAATTTCTGATATAAAAAAATACTTTTTTTTCACTCAAAAACGTATTATTTGTGGATAATGGTTATTAAAGAAAATAAAAGTTATTATATTTTTATTAGAATAAGTAATAACTTTTAAATATATTGGTATACTTCAAGAAGAAAGAGAAACATAGTATTTAATTGCTTCAAACAATAATGCTTATGTCTATCTCTATCTATTTTAAAATTATCTTGAATATGAATTGCGGATATATTGGGAAAGGTGTTCATATGGGATTTTCTTATAACTCAAAGAACCGCAATATATTAAAATTCCAAATGGTTTGCAAAATTTTATTCCTCCAAGGTGTACTGTGTTATTAGTTGTTTTTAACCCGATACAAAAGTTTTCCACTTGTTAGTTTAGATTTGAGTAGGTTTAGGGACAGTAGATTTGCAAGTATTATTCCTTACCTCAAGAAGTACTATGTTAGATGAAATATTAATTCCTATCATATTACAGGGGGCTACGGTGACCGTGGTGGTGGCAACGATGGAATGGTTACACAAGAAGATACTATTTTTGTATCTGGTATGGATCCTTCAATTTCAGAAGAAGAAATTTGTCAACATTTTGGAGCTATAGGTATAATTAAAGTAAGTTATTTTATTGTTTATATATTATAAAAGATATATAAATAAAATTTATTATTTAAACATTATATGACTTTAAATATATATAGCATGATAAGCGAACAGGAAAACCTAAAGTATGGATGTATAAAGATAAAAATACTGGTAAATCAAAGGGCGAAGCAACTGTAACTTATGATGATCAAAATGCTGCGCGTTCTGCAATAGATTGGTTTGATGGAAAAGAATTTAAAGGCAAGAAAATAAGAGTACAAATTGCCCAACACAAAAGCAACTGGCAAGGTAATCGAAGTGGTGGAAGTCGTGGTGG